TTTTTTTTTTTTGCAGTAGAAGAAAACGCAATTCCACCGGCGAGCAATTTACTTACAAATTCTTCTAAATTCACGTTCACGAAATATTCATGAGTTTTTATCTCATCATCAGGCGCTTATTCAAACTCCAATTATCGGGGCGAGATTTGAATTCACGCCTAATTGATCGAACAACTCTCGCCGATCGAACCCACTTGTATGAATTTCCATCGTAGGAACGGACGATTACAGGTGACCCAGAGAACTTCTGACGAATCGTGGAAAACTCTGGGACACCCTGTATATTACTCCTTATCACTACGATGCTATTAGTCAGAATAAAACGTCGGTTTGTGACTGACAGCTTGAGTGATAAGGGTTGAAATATTTGTCTCGGAATCGCGTTAGTGCAGCGAGACACGCACACGACAGTGAAGTAATGAAAACACGTTGGCCGAACAATTTTCAAGGATATATCTTGAGGAATTTCGCATTTCTACAGTAATCAGAAAATCAGATTCTCCGGCACGAAATGAAAAGTAGCCGCGAAATTCCGTCGAAAAGCTACGAAACAGTTTTTACGACACTGTTGAAAGCCGTGATCCCGCCCCCGCAACGAGCTTCGCTCAACATTCTCGAAACAGCTCGAAAGTGCTCTGGGAATTTTAGGAACGTTTGCAACTTTGCAATGTTATTACAAATCGCATCCTCCCGCGAATTCTGCACGTTGCAACATTCTAGTGGAGTATTTCGGACAGCATTTCTCCTCCAGTAATTTTAAAACTGTCGATTATCAAATCTCATCGTCGAAACGGAAGGGAGAATATCAGAAGTCTGTTCGAACATTAGAAGACGTACGATTCTTTTTAATATCATACTGAATTACACTCTCTGTGAGTCGAATTTTTTTTTTCCCACAACTATACAGAAATTTATGTAACGTAAAATCAACAAATATCAACCTGTAAATACGGATTAAGAATGAATTCAGGCAGCTTCAACGATTTTCATCACAACAGCAACGTTTACGCTT